GCGCAATGCTTGAGAAGACATGTCTCATTGTTAATTCCCTTGTCAGTGGCATTAACTTTTAACTCTGTACTTTGTATATGCTCCCATGGGATCCCATAATTAAAGTTCCTGTGGAAGGATTTCACTCCAGGAACACGGAACAATTAAACCTTCACATTTCTAGACAGAGCATCAATGGATAATTTGGCATTAATAACTGACAGATGAGTTGGGGGCAGGGGAATAAAAATACAAAATCAGGAGTATGAATTACTGTTTTTTTATTAAATGTTGGATTCAATGGGCAGTAAAAAAATTTTTGAAATAGTCTAAGACTCAATTTTGGCAGTAAAATAATAAAAGTTGGATGACGAAATACACCAATATGTTGGTGTCTCCAAATCCCTCGTTATCCAGTTGAGGAAAATAAAACTATCAAGTTTCTTCATCAAAAAGCCGACATCAACTGCTAATGAGCAGGTGATAACATGTTATGCACAGACTAACTAGCTCGTCTTGTCAGATGTGCACAGGAACTAATGATGTCGCCGTGACCGTATTTGATTACTGTACATCTCTAAACTTCTTTTTTTATTTGCTCAGTTTTTGTGGTGACCTTTCATAATACTGGAAATGTGTCACCCTTGTATGACTACTGTACTACAAAATTGTCTTGATTGATTTGTGGATCTTTTGTCCTCCTACCACACAATAAATACATCACAAAAGTAACTGAATTTACAGTGAAATAAAACACTGAAAAAGGGACATATCCCCAAAAGGCCAAATGAATTTAACAGATATAGGTGGGCTAAGCACAGTTTGTACGCACTAGTGTATGTCAATAGCAAATATATGAATATGAGATACGTATACAAGCATAGTCCTATGTTGTGGCTGAGTATTTGATCTAACAAGGCTTGAAAGGTGATTATCGAATAAGATTGGACTGAATTGCATTTAAGCCCATCCTCATGATTTGCCCCAGACCAACCAAAAAGAAAAATATTTACTACACATATAAACAAAAGAAGATGTAATATTGAAAAACTGAATCTCATGCTTTAAAGAAAGGTGATTTTTTTACCTTTCAATAGATAAGCTCTTGCTTCATTGTTTTCTTGGATGGTAGTTAGCTAACACTGTTTCTGAACCAGTAGCAGGTGGTAGATGGGGACAAATCTGCTGATTAAGAGATTATCCCTACATGTGATCTGTCTCTGTCACACATGGCAGTGTTAGAGGGTATGTTAGGGAAAGTCAGAATAGTACATACATCTTGGTGTAAATAGAAACTAGGCACCACTTAACATCCAAATTACTGCTACTTGCATGGGAAGAACAAAATATTCAACTTTTTAAGACAGTGTAATGAAATGTTAACTTCTGTAAAATAAGTGTATGGTTTGTCCACCTTTTCATTTGTCAGCATGCCTCTAAAAAGAAGTCCCCCCCCCCAAGTAATGCATGTAGAAGATCACATAGACCTATAGAATAGACATTTTTTTTACCCAGTACCTCTTTATGTTATTAACATCCATGGTTATAGTATCTGTACATACCCTTGAAATTAGCCTTTGGGCATGAGTTTGCAAAAAACTAAATTAATTATATGGAGGTCTGAAGTCTGGAATTGTGCTGTGGAGACCACTTTATGTCCAGTCGGAGGCTTCTAGCCTGAGGGAGATGGAGGTTGTCACTATGTTTGCCGCATGCTTAACACAGCTGAACAGAATGAGGTTGTGCAGTCAATATGTGACAACACATGAAAATCATGATGGAAATATGACTATAGTCCAGTGTAGAAAAAATTGCTGGGGGTTACCAGATGATTATTATATAAACTTATCTGAAACCACTTGTCTATCTTTGAATCAATAAGGGAAGCTTTGATGTCAGCTGCTTTAACTTTTACATCAATATTATCAAAAAAGACGAAATACCTGTGCCATAAAACATACGTGATGCATGATGCTTGCAGGTACACGTACTAGTTATTGTTGTTCAGGCTTTCAGTTTATTCTGTTAATTCGTTGCTTGACGAAGGATCATCATATTTCATTGCTCATGAAAACTGATTTTTGCATAGAACATCTCAATTGATAGGCATGACCCAAAGTGGACAATATCCCTACATTAGACAACACAGTCCCAAGATGACTGCATCAACTTTCCCAGTCTGATATAGGATGCCGACTGCTAATCAGTCTTGACACTAGGAGGAATTACTCTTGATTGGAAAATGCTAAGGAATAGTGGCACTTCTCCACTTACACTGTTGTGTGCAATTTCTCAATTGAAAGTACAATTCCAACATTAGGTCATGTATACAATTTTATGTATTGAGTCCTGAGGCTGAAGGGCAACTATTTTGAAATTTGTGGTTAGGGGTCAAATTCCTCATAATTTTTCTTTGAAAAAAGCTTGGCAATGCCTGGTCAGTGTAACAAACTCGTGAAGAAAATACATTGTAGTTCTATTGGATGTTCAATATATCTGTGGGTGAGGGTCACCAATTTTAGGAAAAGTGTTTGAAATTTTTACATCTTGCATCATATTCCAAGCATGAAATGAAGGTTTAAAGAAATCCAATTTTGGTTGCTGTGCAGTCTTCAGTGATCACCATCTAGTGGAAAGTGGGCCTTATAAATGTATGTCCAACATGTATACACACATTACTATACATACGACTTTCTCAGATTGACTGCATGCCTTCTACCATACTTTAAGCAGTACTTATTGCGTTATGTACCTGCAATGATGTAGGTTATAGAGAGAATGTTGTGTTGACCTTGTGGATGTCATGGGACAACCGGAGAGTCTTCACAAAGGATAGACCTCCTAATCAATGTTGACAGGAGCTTAGTACATGACACGGGCCATGCTGCAATTTTGTTTGATTCACCACATCTATGTCCTGACATTTTGTAATTGCTGCAAAAGGTTGGGACATAAATCCAACACACTAGCAGGTGAAAGCAAAAGTTGAGTATCAATCAAAATTATTTCTGTCGAAATACATCTATTCTCCTTGATCAAAAATTACAGGTTCCGTGGCTGCCTAGACGGGGTAGGAGACCGAACCGTGAAGAATTCATGGCCGTAAATGCTAACATTTCCATCTGTCAGAAAGAAACATGTTTCCGAGTAATTTTATAGGAAACACAGTGATGTGTAAAGTTGAAAATGTCACAATGATCTGTAAAATTTCTCTTGCCTTTGGAAAAGTCCTGACGTGATGCCTGGGAGACCATGGGAAGGACAAACAGTACCTGTGATGAAAGTTGGTATTGTTGCACAACATTTACAAATGTAGCTGTATCGAAGTGAAAAAGACTGTGATCACTGTTCTATGATCCTAACAGTCCATTAGTCATGAAACTGTATATTGTTTGTATGGATGGAGTTTTGCTGTCAACTTTGAACTCCATTCAAAGCAATTAGCTTTGAGCATATTGATAACTTACCATTGATGCTACCTAGATAAATCCCAAGTTCTCAGGCATATCGCTAAAATCAATGTTAATACTTCTCTCCCAAAACACAATATACACCAGAAAGGGAAAAATACTGTTTTTGCTCACTACTTGTCTTGTACTTCTTCTATTCTTGAATTTACCCAACACCCTTCACTTCATAAAGGTACCACACTATTTTATTTCCGTAATTCTGTGTAACCAAGGTCATTATAATCATATGGTGTCCTTGGTGTAACACAAACTCTCACTCTCCTGGGCTGTATGGAGTCTGTGCAGTGGCCTAACCAGTGGGAGGGCTGCCAGAAGCCTAGTGAGGGAAACCCCTATGTTCCCTATGTTCCAACACCCCTATGTTCTGACATACCCACATAGGGCTAGGGTTGTCAGAAATAGGTTCCTGGGATGTTGGAACATAAGGGTGTAAACCGTTTAGCCAGGCTATAAGCTTTACATGAAAATTGAAGTGTAGGTTTCAGTTTTCCACCACTAAATCCATTGACAATTCCTGTCAATTAAGAAAATCACCAAAAGTGGGCCTATACTATAGGGCAGAAATCCTCAGTGGTAACAATGGGCTGGTCTAACATGAAGGCTGCCATGGCTTGCATGATCTGACCTTCATGTTACAAATGGTTTGCATGCGTTGGAAAACCTCTGCTGGCAAGCCTGCAGGTGAGTGACAACCACTGAGCTTGCTTGGGAGCATGTCTCAGACACCTTGGGCTTGGGGCATCCAAAACATGGTCATCTATCTAGCTACGTACCAAGTATTATAAGGATCCATGCATTTGCCATTTCTTGGGTTATCTTTGTCATACAAACAGACCCAAGAATATAACCTCCATAACCCACCATAGATCACACCCCTCAAAAAGTTGATTCCAAAGTTATTTTTTATTGCATTTCATTAACATATGTTTATTGAGAATTTGGGAAGAAGCAGGATGCTTCTAAAAAACCTCTCCTCAAAAACATAAATGCAAATACAACAATTACATTTAGGCCACACCAATTTAATTTCTTGGTTAACGGATTCGCCTCTTCATTTTTTTCTGATTTGCAAATAAAAATAAAAATTCAGAATCAACTGCAAAATGCTCATATTTTGCCCTGAACAGTTGAAAACAGTCCTTTTCTTACTACTTGTTACAGTCATTCCATCTTTCTATGCAGTGCTACCATTAAAAGTTCAAAATTCATTGTTTAAATTTTGAACCAGCCTGGTGTGTTGACTTCATGGGTCCTATCGTACCATTTTGGGCCACAATAGGATGCCTAGGCCTGTTTTTATTTTTATTTTTTTTTCGCCCGCCCGCTCCATTATTTTTCTAGAAAAATCCGTTAACCAAGAAATTAAATTGGTGTGGCCTTATTGGGAAGTAACACATACAATAGAAACACAATATGGATAATGGAAAATATATGCAATCAATCACCAAAACCTAAGACAATAAAAGTATGAACAACATTGAAAAAGTACATGTACATTTAGCAAAGAGTCCGAAGTTGGACAACACTGAAAAATTCCAGTAAAGTTTTTACCTTGACTTGAGCCTAGAGGGGATAAAGCAAGGCTGAAGAATGTCAGACCCAGGGCAATGGCTGCTGCCAATTAAAATGATGTATCTACTGGCCGTCAGTGTATGGCTGCTTCCATTGTACCCTGGTGTTAACAAGCCCAGGCTGAGGTCAGGAGATCACTGTCAAGGGACAAGAATATAAAACTGTTCAAGAGTAAGTCATGTACTGGATCATACACACAAGTTTTCTTAATCCTCATAGACCAACTGCCATTTCTTTACCAAGACCAGGAGGAAGTTTCATAGTTGGTACAAAGTGAATAAAACTTTTGACAACAGATTGAGTAGGAAATCT